CTATTCTTAGAATATTTTAATTTTATCATTAGGTTTACTTTTAAAGCAGATTAAAAAAAAAAAAGATTAAAAACCCTTGTAAACCTGAAAATGTTACGTCACAGGATTTTAAAATTTTGGTTGAATTTAAAAAGTTCAGAATTGAAACCCTCCATTTTCTACCATTCTAAACGTATAATACGAAAAGAACACTAATGCTTTAAGCAAACGTTCTGGAATTAGAGGCCGTCGAAACAATCGTACGTGACTCCCGGATGCATTTTCCATTCAGTCAATTTATTAGCAATATTAGAACATTAATTTTTATGAAAGGAATTATAAAAAATGTTAAGATTTTGATGGTTTTCAGCCCAGTTTCACATTATTTTGATTACCATTAAAAACGAACATGATTAAGGCCTCTGAAAATTTACTAACTCTGACATAAATCCAAATCAAAGACTGAAGATACAGATTTTATTATTGATGTAAATCGGCATTACAATCGTTGTTAGAATACGTTATTTTCTGAATCATGTTTTATTTTAAATGCAGCTTGTATATTGATGACTGAAGTCTCAGGGAACTTCGAACATTAAATCAGTGCTCACACTGATTACAGCAGTGTTGAGTAAGAAAACCTCTTTCAACCAAACGCAGATTAATTTTTTTCAGAGTCAGAATAATTTCTCCGTACTTATTTGAATCTCGCAAGTAATGTCAGATTTGTAGAGATAAATATAAAAATATCAAAATTTGGATTCAGTTGTGCAAGAAATATCACCTTGTTTTTTATTTCTAAAGAAAGAAATAGCTAATAGAATAACGAATAAATAGCTCTTATGTGACGTCACTAATTCCTAGTCTGCTCAAAAGCAACTACTCCCTTTGCGTCTTTAGGTGTTTTTGCCGAGCGGGAAGGTACGTTTGCTTCTCGACTCCATATTTTCTTAATCTTTCGCTGCGTAGTTTGCAACTCTTAAGTGCTTATAGTAGGTAATTGTTGGAATTTAATTTCAGAGCACTGTAAAACGGCCTAGCCTGATTAACAGCTCTGAACTTTGGTTACGATCTCAGTTTTACTATGAATCGTTATCTCGATTATATAGCTTCTGTAATCACCAGCTTAGAAGTTATCCGAAAACGTAATGGATATCTTTCTGCACGAGAAGAAAGATACCTCGGATTCTTTCTTTTTTCGGTTCCTTCATCTGTTTCAGAACGTTCGCTGTAAATGAATTTTAGCGAAATCAAAATTGCTCACCCAGAGATATAAGCCAAGATAATATATCCTTCCTAACTCAGATGGTGAAGGAATCACCAATGGAAGCAGGACGCTTCACTAATGGCTAAGGATTCAGCGAATAACCTACAGATCCTACAGCTTGGATAATTCTACTGACGAAATCATTTAATTTAAGCCACTTGATGAAAGTTAGGACTCTGAAGGAGAATCAAAAGGAAGCGAAACTGTTGATCATTGCCGCAAAAGACTTAAAAAGGAACTTTCAGCCCAAACCAAGAAAGATTCCACTTCAAAAAGAAAAGCTGAAGAAAACTCGACTTTGACTGCTATAGAAATGATAAATGCTGACAAAGATGAGAATATTTATAATTTTGGTGGATTCACATACCATAAACACTCAAAAAAAGTGACACCAATCACGATACAGAATTCAAGTTTTAGCTAAAAAGATATCCTTAAGATGATTTAAGAGGAAAGAATTTACAATAATGAATGGAGACGAAAAATTCTTACAGATGGTCATTACATCCTCAACGAAGACAATCCTCGCATCTACAAAACTTTTATTCATATGCTCAAAAGCAAAGATATAAAATTTCACTGCTTTCCGCTTTCGAGGAGAGAGAACTGAAGGTAGTCATTAAAAGTCTTTCTGCTTCTACGGACGTCGACGAAATCATGCAAGATCTCCTAGAAACTGGATTTTAAGTTAACAGTGTTAAGCAGATGATAAAAAGAAGGAATGAAGAAAAGATCCCCCGTCCCCCTATTGTTTGTTGTCTTCAAGAAAACTGATCGAAAAGCATCTCTGATCTCAAATTTCTAGAAAACCTGAAAATCAAAGTGGAACAATAACGATGATGTAAAGGCCCAATTCATTGCCTGAAATATTAAGGGTTTCGCCACTCGCAGGCCCACTGCAATAAGAACCCACGTTGCGCGAATTGTGGCGACAAGCATTTTTCATATTAATGCGAAAAACAAAAGAATATCGCACTTTTGTGCTTACTGCTCTGATTCTCACATTTCAAATTTTCATAGATCAGAGAAATTCCCTGGAAAAGAGAAAAAATCCTTGTTAAATCATATCAAGAAAGATTCATCGTAAATTCTACGCTACTGCCTTCGCCCCAGCAAACAACCCCAAGCCTCCTGGGAAAATCGCAGACGCGAAGAAAATATTACAAGATTTGAAAACCGTGGTTCTGTTCTTCAAAACCTCAGGAATTTCCGAACTAGCAAACAACATCGCTAAGATTCAAGGTGTAGCCCTCCAAAAACAGTCAACCAATCATGCATAAGTTTACTCAAAAAGCGCGACCAATCAGAATTATAGTACGCAACGTCTGCTACCTTGCGAACAAACTAGACGAATTCTGCTATTTTATGGTGGAATATGACACTGAAAATGCTCTTGCATCGGAACTTTCAAAAATCCTACCCAAAATATAAAAAAAAGTGAACTATAATTACTTATGTAACCGAATCCGTCATAAAGGGGAGGTGTGGCAGTCTCCGTATAAAGATCTCCTCAGTCTAGTTTTGTATGTACAGATAACGCCGACGGATATAAAATTATATAACTGTTTCTACAATTTTCCTTAAATTTGGAAATGCATTCTTTAGCGCATTTTATAACCCTCTGGATAATAGATTGTTAGACGAATTTCTCTCCGTGCTGATTCCGGATAACTCTTTCTTCTAATTTTCGCAGGTGATCCGAATGCGAAACTTACAGAATAAGGATACTGTAACAACGGAACAATTCCACACTAGTTCATATAGAATCGTCCCGCATCTCTTTACGCACCACAAGAAGCAATGTGTCGCCAAATTGCCTTCTCCGACGACCACACATCCTGGATTTAATTCTCTCAAGCGCCTCCAATCCCACGGCTGTAGATAACAAAGTAGAATTTTCTTCGGCCCACATTCTATCCTTGGCTAAACTGGAATACCGCAGACTGCTGCAAAATCTACTACTGACTAGAGGCTGTTTTATAACCTCCTCCTCGTCAATCATTCAAACATTCAACATCTTGAAATCTAGAGCAAATCGATACAAAAGTACAGGAAATTACCGACAGCATCATACAGGCATATAAAAATACTACCAAACTGTCTTCACTAAGAATAAAATCACCAAATTCCCAACAGAGAGACCATTAATCTACGAAATTACGTCAAAAAAAGAGAACAGGTGACCAGCTACCAAAAAAGAAGTCAGCAAACTCAATAAAGTTACCAAGAAATTAACAAATAATTATAGAGCAGATTCATGTGAGCATAAAATCACCAACCTGGAAACAATGGATGGTTCCTTTTGGAACTTCATAAGCAGACTTGAGCAGAAAGCCTTCAGTAAAAAGCCGCTGCATGCAGAAAAATCACATTGCATATTCTGACAAATAGAAAGCACAGGTCTTCAGGTTTCAAAAGCATTCGACAGAGAGTGCCACATTGGTCTTGCATATTCAGCTGAACTTCATATAAATTATGAAATTAATCTATTCATTCCTAAACCAAAGATGTTTCGTAGTAAAGCAGAGAAATGAACTGTCGTCCTTCGATCAATGAGAGCTTGAATTCCGCAAGGTTCGATCCTTGGACCAGTTTTGTATCATTTCTACGTTCACGATTTCTCGAAGCCTGGTGTTTACATAAATTCATTTTTCGCATGCTACGCAGACAACACTGTACTAGTGGTATGTGAACCCAAAGCACGCAACTTGAAAGTTACAAGCCGAGAGTGGCGACACTGAATACTGGTGCACACAGTGAAGAATTAGTACCATCGCCTCTACATCACAGTTCCTTCATATGCAAAGGCATAAAATCAAGAGGCATCTGGACTTAACGTCCCAAAAGTAAGATCAGTAAGCTGCCTTGGTGTTATACAAAATAAAAACCTCACATGGGCTGATCACACCATGTATATTCCCAGCAAGGTGAACTCAGTACGTTCGGTTATTGCGTTACTTTATTGAAAGAAACTCCTTCGGAAAAGGATAGTCGCTAGATAGCACCCCAAGATTGTTTATAATGATTAGGTAAATTGAAGATGCTGTTAGAAAATTCTTCGATAGCAAATTCTAATGATGATTTTGATAGCGCTGTTCATTAATCTTGTGCTTAAAAGCTCATTTGCCCCTGATGAGTATTTTAATGACACTGATGATGAAACTGCTCGCTGAGATATCTCTAGTACATGAAATACTATTAACTTCGGTCATATAATGAAGTATCACAAGATGAAATCTATTCGAAGCAAGGATATTCATTCTCCTTATAGTGTTCGATTTATCGAAAGTATGGAAAATTATTTCGACATCTGCTGAATGATGCATGACCTCTTCTTATATCAAATTTTTAGTGTACTTGCAGCTGACTAGACAGAAACTATACTATGTTCAAATAATGTGTCTAATTGCAGTTTAAAACATAAAATTTAATTTTTATTATTTTTCTTACAAATCTTATCGTACAATTATTTATTAAAATTAATTTCTCATATTTTTTGATATATTTATATTGTTTTACACCAATATGACTTTTTAACTTAAATTTTATATTGTTTTATACCAATATGACTTTTTAACTTAAATTTTATATTATTTTATACTAATGTTATTATTTTAATTATTTATTATTTCTACTCGAATATTTATATCATTCTAAAACTTTATTATTTTTGTTGTAATATTTATATTATTTTAATGCTTACATAAAATTGCACTTCCTGAACACGCTATTTTTTCCCATTTTGCAGAAACCCACGTATGCCTTGCACGAATCTACCAAGTCTAGATTTAAGCCACTGGAAAGATAAGACTTCATGCCACCTAAACACTGGTGATGAAGGTTTTACTGTTGCTATGGGTCATTCGCACAGAATTTCACCTTGTGTGACATGTTCTTGTACAAAAGAAGGGGTAAATAATTTCCTAATATCAGATTTTCCTAAACGTTTGTATCATTAATGGAACAGACTTTTTCCCTCAATGCACACTCGAAAGCTAGGGGGTCGGATTCATTACCCAAGTAATGAAAATTTTTTAATAAATAACAGTTGATTACGAAACCAAGTATTATTTCAATTATAATTTTTACTTCTATGTTGAGTAAATCAAATAGGTTGTTCAAAACACAAAATAATATATATATATAAACATTTGTACAGGTTGTTTTACTGCATTTCGTAGGTATTATACTTTCTTGCAAATCGGAAATCTGTGGTTATTTTATGCAGAATAAGGCAATCGCTTCTATTTTATTTACCTCGTTTGCTAGGTTCCCATTTCTTAATTACATTCTGATAAATATCACAATATATCAAAGATTTTCATTATTTTTATTATACTGTTACTAAGCTTAATAATTTTCGTAGAACCCCCCCCTTCCCCCATAAATTTGCAATGGCTATTATTCTGTTTACACTGGTTATCCGCATTAAACATTTGACCGAAGAAAAGAACAAATAGAAATTCACGATAATATCACCTCAAATCTTTTGCGATCTTCACCAGATATATCAAAAAATAAATAAATAAATAAATAAAATAAAATAAAATTAAAATAAAAAAATAAAATGCATGCAAAAGCTTCATCTTCTTATGGTAATCTATAATAAAAAATTAGCACATATGTGTAAATAATAACGAATTTATTATAAGAAGGATAGAAAGAAGCACTGGGTGTTAATCACTATCACTCATCCACATATTACCTTATTATGTTACGTAAACTCTGCAATGCCTTTAGGAAATTTAATGAAAGTGTCCACATCACAGTAAGTGGAAGATCGACAGCACATTGTCAGTTATTTAAATAAGCGATTCTATAAAGTTGGGTATGCAAACAGACAAAACCCCGCATAGGAAAACCGGTAATTCTTTAGAAATTGTAAAAGGAAAACTGAATTTTTTTTAATTACTGAAATTGCTTTAATGGTTTTTCAATGTGGTCAAATTGTGGCACAACAAACATCCAGAGATCCACAATTTCATTCGTTTTTGCTTGAAGAATATTTTGTACAGTTGTATGCATGACATAAAAGAACTTGAGGTGTCAAATTCATTTATCTTGACGTTTTTGATCTAGCCTCATAAGACAGAATGAAGTAGAATTAAAGAATCTGGGGATTATAGAGATTTTCTTAGATACGTGTGGCTTCCCAGGAGCGGCATAATTTTGCGTGTTGTATTATTGTTTCAAATTGCGTTCTGATACAGTAGAACACCTTCATGAATGTTTAAAAGTTTATACAGTTATCAATCAATACAGTATCAATAAAATTTTACATCTATTCTGTGAGGTTAATTATCACCATCAAAATATCTAACCATCAAGCAGACACACACACAGAATTAAAGCATTTTATTCTACCTGACCACTTCTGAGTGCTTATTAAAATATACAGCTACAAATTTACTAGCCAAGCTGGACCTGGTTTAAAACTCAAAGCTTCTTTTCGCAAATAATATAAATGCAAGATTGCATTTATATTATTTATTATAGAAATATAAGACTACAAGATTGCACACATAGCGACAGAATTTCAAACACGCACTTACCAAAACAGGATCAAACCTCTATCGAAATATTGCCAGCAAGAAAAGCATTAGCTTCGCCTACAGACTGTTTTCTTCAATCGGCGACGGAACGCAGGCACTGCCTTACTCCTAAATCTCTCACACTCTTACTCCTAAATCTCGAAACTTTGTAATAAAACTGCTTGCCATTCACCATCTGCATAAATTTGGAATGAGCGAACCTCTGGGTGAAAAGAGAAAGAAAAGAAGTAAATTAAAATAGCATTTCGTTAGTAAAACTTAAAACTACCTTTACCACATCCACGTAATTTGTTTTTAATTATCTCAAATAATTTGCTTCTGTCTCCAACACGGTTTTTAATTTCTCTCTCACAGCATGCTGATATGGATTGTTTCCTACTTTTTACAGTTTAATTTTCAACCAACAGAATTTGTTGATACTCATTGAATAATTGAGAAATCCCTGCTTTGGTAAAGTTTAACCTTCTTTTCTTATACGATCACAAGTATCAGTACCTTATTTTTTTTTTTTTTTTTTTTTTTTTTTTTTTTTTTGTACCTTTTTTCTATGGGACCAATCAGTTTGGTTTGTCATCTTAAACAGTTACGCACTTTATTTTATTTATTTTTTTTAAAGACTAAATTATAGGGCTTAACTTACTGACAATATCAAACAACCAAATAAGATATTTTACTAACATTTCCCCTGGTAGCAAACAAAGTGAGTTTATTCCTGCTAATACATTAGGATAATAACTGGATCCATTTTGTAGCATACACTTGATTGGCTCTCGGTTTTGAATAGAAGAAATCCTCTTTACATAATGCAGTTGTATTTTTATTTAGTAATAACATTTTACGCAATAAAAATAATTCACAGTGGTTAGTTGCATTACATTTTGCATAAATACAACTTCATGAGATTTTCCTTAAAAATAACATCGAAGACATTCAGATTTTTACAAAAACTTTTCACAGTTCCGGTCATTAGTGCATATGAATTAAGAAATTCCGGACCGTAACTGATCAAGTCTTGGCAAAAATGATAGTAGACTACTGAGTAAGAAAAATATTAGGTAAAATGCCTAACTCTTCAAAAATTTCAGACTAAATAGTTTCTTTTCCCTCTAGCTCGGTTGGTCAATCTTTTCGAAAGCATGGGCTATTATTATTATTATTATTATTATTATTATTATTATTATTATTACGTGTGAATTCACGATTTTTCATTAAGCGGAAAATACTAGTTAACATTCTAATTATGTAATTCGTGTCGTGATAGACGTGTCAGCCAGCTACTCTCTTAACCATTAAAAAAGAAATAGTAAGAACATGAAATGTACTGAATAATAATGATGCAAACTGTGAAAAGCACTTATAAGAATCATTAATTTTATAATCTGTGTATTAAATTTTAGAGCACAAAAGCTTTGATTTGAAAATCTAAGCAGATCTTGAAATTTTATTCTTGAATTATATAACACAATATCTAATAGAAATGTGGGTTCGCTACAGGCTATAACGACAAGGCGATGAAAGAAACAAGTTATGGATTCGAGTCCTTAGCGAATTGACATTCCCAAGAACAGAAGTTCTAGGTCGTCCACTGCTTACGATCTCTCATGATAATTACGTTTTACATAGAAAACCAAGTAAAGAACAACAGAGACATCTTAGCTTGTTGTAGCAGTAAGAAGATGGAAGTTTTACTACATTTCAACAAGAAATATTTGTCAGAAAAAATTGTCTATGTGCTCTACGAATTCATCTAGAAAAATAGTTGGACAGCATACGGCAAAAGAACATACCATGTAGATCAAAATAATGCTCATAGATGAACTGAAGTATTGTCTATACTTGTAACTCAATCACATCATGATCTGAAGAGAAGTAATGATCACCATACAACCAATCCCAAGATTCTCGAAAAGGATACGAGAAAGCTTGAGTAAGATTCATTCTCAGCACTCACATTTATTTCTATGTGTTTGCTGGTAGATTACCGAAGGTCCTGGAGTATTGACAGGAAGTCGTCGATCAACGTGCAAATCTATTTCTTGTCATCATTGATGATTAACTTTTTCATGGATGAAAATACTGCTGTCTACCGGTACCTAGAAGATCACGGAATTTAACGCGTGTACTTAGACAATTCGAGTGAACGGGAGGGGAAATTAAGGCCTGTCTGGCCTATGTTCCCAAATAAAGTTACTATTAACTTAACTTTTGCAGACATTTAAAAAATTTGTGAAGCGATTAACGCGAGACAAGCAAGTAAGCCTTCGTAAAGATTGAAGCCACCGTCTTCCAATTGCTAGCTAGACGTGCTACCACTTACATTACGAGAATCCGCAGGGGGCAATGCGATAACTCCTTAAAAATTCAGTGCATGAAGAAGTAGCATTCTGTTAACATTCATCCTAACAGTGAAAATTTTTTGCATTTAAGCTTGTTTATTTTCAATTATATTAATATAATTTTTTCTCCGCCTTTCTCACTTTATTGGATTTTTGTAAAACAATAACTTATAATTTTTATAGAATTTCAAATTGCAGTAATTGATTGCGTTAGTTATACATATTCTTAAATTTTATATATTTTTTATCTTAGCAATCATGGCTTTAAACTTATCAGTTCAGCTTTTAAAGGATAATATAAATTATGATTCATCTCAACTTTATAGTGTATGTGCTTATTGTACTTCGTTTTTGATTCAGTTCATTTCAATACTGTATTTGTTAATTTAAATTTAAAATATTGTTACCAATTCTTATCATTTGAAGGTTTATAATTTTTTCCTCTCCAGATGATCTGCCAATCTATGAAGATAACCAACTGTTTTGAACTAGCATCAACTTATACAAGAGAGCTGATTCTAAAAGATGATGTATGCAAAGTGCAATGTGCTTTTGCCTTCCGAGCTTACCCACAATTTGAGACAAATTTAGACAATATATTAGGATTTACAGCATGAAATAGCATAATAGGACAAATGAGCATGGAATATGATCAAATATAACTTGCATTACCAATGTAATTGTGATATTCCTATTTTGCACTGTTAGTATAATACATACTAGTTTGCACATATGTAAGCTAAAGTATTTATATTTTATACAATTCAGATCTCATTTGTTATATTTTACAAATAAATAATATTTACAATTACCTTTCTTCTTTTCATATAAACTTTACAACATTACCATGTGTAGGCCCCGGTAAGCATATGTAGCCAAAACAAACGACGATGTAAAGAGACTTCATTTTAATTAATATTTTCTAATTTTACTAATTAAAAAAACATTAAAAGAAAAAAAGAGCACAGAAAAAGAAAATTCAAAAAATTTGAAACTTTATGTACTGCATAGTAATGTATTTCATATTTTCAGTCATAAGCAGCTCATTTCGAAAGATTCCTTTTCATTTTTTCCTCCGGAGATAAAAATGATTTGAATATAACGTCTCTGAATGATTTTTATTGTCATAACTATCAGAAGAAAAATAAAACAAATCCATTAAAAAAAATTCTGAAAGTTTTTCAGACCGAAAAGGGTTTTTTTAACGTTTTTGTGTGTTACCTTTATTTATTAAATATCATGCTCTTCGCACTTTATCCATAAAATTCAATTCAACAGCAATATCACGGAATAATTTAAAAAGAACATATCTTTAGAATTTCCGATACACAGTCTCGCACGCTGGAGATAATTTTTCTCCCGTCCGTACAATGGTGTTATTGCTCGCTTTGAAATCGTTTAGTTTCTTAATCAAAAATTCGTTAAAGTTTTACAAAACACGAAATAGATAAAAAACCAAATTCCAAATTTGGGCTTCCAGATGTCCATATTCATGTAAAGGATTACGTTATTTGAAATTTGATGTTTCTAGATACCATTGTTTTATCACAATGCGAGAAAAACACATACATGTATGCAAATTCTTCATTACTTAATTTCTTTAAATATAAGACAGGGCGCTAATATTTGGTGGCAACAATTTGAAAAGTGAAACAGACATTTAAAGTTTTCGACGCAAAATGCCAAAACGGAATTAATAGCCCCTTTGGGATAAGAAGATACAAACCACCTAAACTTTGATGTTAACTTCCACATAATACCTTCTACATCTTATATTCTTAAAGGTTTGTGAATTCTTAGCATGAAATAGTATGAGCAGGGCTTGACTTTGAAATCCCCGCTTAGTTTGAAGCATAACAAGAGGATGAGATGATTTTTCATGGGCCTGAGATCAGATACTGCATTTTTTTTACTATAATATAGGTGTTCTTTGGCATCCTTTTCCGAAAAGAATTTTATGCATACACATGTAATCAAATACCTAGTAAACAGTACATGCTCCTAATGCATGTTAAATAAACAAGTGAGGTATGCCAAGTGATATCCATCTTGGCCATTCGCACAAATTATGATAACATGATGCTCGGCAAACGAAGTACATGCCCACAACTCGTATTGCAAGACCTAATTTGTTTATCAAGTTAATATTTACTCAACATCTTTGCACATTATGCAAATTGCTGGCATAAAGTTACTTGCAATTCGAGGTTTTATTGTAATATTTAATTAATAAAATTTATTAATTATATTTAAGAAAATCGCTTTATTTAATATTCATTATTATTTTTTTTCAAAAAATTACCATTACAAATAAGAAGAAACAAAAATATTTAAATTTCTTTGTAATAAAAATTAGAGATTACAAATACAAAAATAACGCTTTAGGCATAATTTTTCACGATGCTCGTAATATAAGCTTTAGTTAGGATCATTAATTAAAGACTCATTGCCGAACGACTAGTCGCAGTGTGGATTCAACGAAAGTGCGTTATGTGATGATGAGCAAATGTAGCTACGATTACTTAGAATGTTCATAATGAGTATGCCTTGTGTTGTAAAAGACATTCTAAATACACTCATATAAAATAAAGAAACGTTTTCTGAGTTTTACGTCTGCAATTTTTGTCACTTTTATGTGGTGCATCATTCTTAACAGTCTTCACTCCTCTCTCGTATGTTTTTAGTTAACAATTGATTTAATAACAGATTTAAGAGAAATCTAAACAAGATGAGCGTAAAAACAGAACTCTGACATAAACAGCAAAGAAAGATATTGTGGAAGACTGTTGGGTTAAGAATCTTAATAATTTCTGCAAAGAGAATTTGGATCTTCGAATCCAAAAATGGCAATCACAGTACGATAATCTCAGTCAACAAATGCATGAAAACATACAGTAAAAGGGGGGAAATACCTTATATACTCCTCATCTTAAAGGATACTTGGAAGAGACCCGATCACTAAATCCTTATATATGGTAGCTAGTAACTAGTTAATGGATCCAAGAGATTGTGGGGTCATACGGCTAAACAAACTAAGTGGAGCATGGAACAAAGGGCTAAAGAAAGACTAGCGATTGCGTTCTAAGAGGACCGAAGCCATCCACCCTCCAGAATAGTATTAACTGCCCTTTTGTATACCAGGAACCGGTCCATGTATTTTATACGTCCGATGCTGAGGTTGCCCGAGTACGTATCCAAACCAATACACTAGTCGACCCCTAAAGAGAAATCTGGTTGGTGATGAATATATCCACCAATTTTTAGTTCAGGCATCACTCATAGAGTCATTAAGTTCTTAAACAAACGGAAGACATGAAAAATAGGCAATGCCCACAACAGGATTTAAATCTCGGATTTTCTCACTGCTAGCTGAATATATGTTTTAATTATATGAGAGAAATTCTGTTCCCGCAGTACTTCATCAATAGTATCCGGGATCCTGAGATACAGAAAGCACTGCGAATGGCGAATGTCAAGGATTTAAAAAGTTCTTTAGTACACTAAAGCGCTTTTTAAGCGTTGCTCGCTTCAAGTTTCTTGGCACTAGAGTCCCATGAAATTTGAAGCAGCCCAGCGAGCAACTCGTAGAAACCGCCATCCAATCAGAACTGCTCAAGTCTAGGAGCCAGTGGATAAAGTGACTGCTCATATAGACGATTTAACCAAGCAAATCAATGCCTTGAGATGGAATATGAGCGACAAGGTACCGACTCTAAAGTGCTGCACTGCGATGGTGAAGGTCACGTACGAAGGAAACGCAGAACAACTGAATGAACGGAAACTAAAACCGCTCCCAGCAAGAAATGAAATTAATTAGTGGCTATCTTGCAAGGTGGATGTTGATAGAAAATGAGAAGCCCCATTTTAAACCACTTAAGATTTCTCCAATGACTTGCGGCAGTAACGAACACTTCATCATGGGACATATAAACGGAGTTCCTTCCAATATAACCATCGATACAGAAGCTAATGTGACCAACATCCGAAATGATTTTGCTCAATAACTGGTAGGTAAACTCATCTAGACGCCGCCCTGCATAACCCTCCAAAGTGTATCCGGTGATAAAATCGATGTCAATGTAAAATTAAACATTAACATTATATTCGGAAGAACCACCTACCATCCCACGGCATATGCGGCAGATATAACCGACTCTTGCATACTCGGATTGGACTTTCTAAAGAAATATAATTTTTCCTTGGACTTTCACGAGCTGCATTCTGCCGCTGAAGACATAACACTATTCAGAATTAAAAATGAAGGACTTAGTTCCATCCTCTAAATCATAGCTCGAGACGATACCATAGTAGTAGCACGAACAGAATTTTTGCTTCCTGGATCTGTAGTCGAAAACAGAGATTTCAGTTACGGTATGCCTAAAACTCTAAGAGCCTGAAAAGAGTACTAGTAGCCTCGGCACTTGTCTACCTATCGAAGACCAACGTCCCGGTGAGAGTTGCCAACGTAAGTGATATAACAAAAGTCAGTAGGAAAGGGGAAGCATTTGCAGCATGTACTTCAGTGACCTGTGTTGAACGATAAAAATAGTCTGCCAATCTATGTGTCTTCAGAAACCTTAATATCGCAGCTATTGCAGAATGCACAACTAAGTGATGAAGAGAGGACTACTGCCGAACATGTCACACAAGGAATTTCAAGATGTTTTCCCTGCTCATTTTTTGATGTAAGATGAACCAGTTTGACACAGCACAGAATTGATACAAGAGACCATCCACAAATCAAGCAACATCTAAGACGTCTACTGATGGCTAAACAGGAACAAGTAGGAAAAGTTCTAAAGGATATGCAAGAAAGCAACATTAGCAAGCCTTCAGCAAGTGCAGGGGCCTCTCCCATCGTTTTGATCAAAAAGAAAATGTTTCGACTAGATTTTGTGTTGACTTATCGGCAGTTTAACGAAGTTGCGTAGGAAGACAACCACACTCTTCCGAGAACTGATGATATTCTGGAAGCAAGTGGTTTTCAACTCTTGATTTAAAGACTGGATATTAGCAGGTAGAGATACATCTTGTTAACCAGGGCCGGATTTATGTATAAGCTACACAAGCTATAGCTTAGGGCCTCAAACAATAAAAATATAGTATAAATAGTATAAGTATCAGTAGTGGGCACAACCCGACCCGCCTAACCAAACAAGTTGGTCTTATGGTCATGACAGGCCACGCCCACTATAGTTTAATAGTATTAAAATATATTATAAATAGTATTAAAATATATTTTTAAAATGGTATTAAAATATATTATAACAGACTTATAAAGGGCCCCATATTTCAAATAACTTAGGGCCTTATCAAGCCTAAATCTGGTTCTGCTGCTGACGAAGAAACGACGGCATTTAATACCGGTCAAGGATTTTGGCTGCTCAAGGTGATGCCTTTTGGATTATGTAATCTGCCGGCAACATTTTAACACCTCATGAAAACCGTATTGACAGGTCTTTTCTACAAAGCCTGTCTAATACACCTGGATCACATCGCCATCATTGGGAACAGTTTTGAAGAACATTTAGAAAATATTAGGAAGGTACCGCAGAAATTGAAGGAAGCCAAACTAAAATTAAATCCCACCAAATGTAAACTGTTCAGACAGAAAGGGATTTGACATGCCATCCGTGCGGCAGGTGTGTGTATGGACCCAGAAAAAGTGTCGACAGATAAAGACTGGAGACGTTTCGAAAATGTCCATCAGCTGAGAATTTTTCTGGGGCTTTGCATCTACTATAGAAGATATACGAAGGACTTCTTCCATCACAAGACCCCTTCACAAGCTGATAGCAAGCAAAAGTTCTTGCAGACAAAAGAATGTGAGGATGCATTTTACTCACTGAAGGAAGCTTTAACATCTGCGACAATCTCGACACGCACTCAGCTCGACAAACCATTTATTCTTGACATGGAGGATAGCAATGAGAGTGTTGATACTGTCTTGCCTGAAGAAATAGATGCACAAGAACGTGTCATGGCATAGTGGCACAAGTCTCAATCTAAACCCAAGAGAAATTACTGTCACCAGAAAAAGAGTTCCTCCCCAGAGTTAAGGCCGCAGAACATTTCCATCACTATGCCTAAGAAGAAAATTCCTGCTCCATGCAGATTAAGCATTGTTGTTCTGCCTATTAAATTTCAAGAATACAGATGGCCAAGTACCCAGATGGATACAGGTCCATGAAGACGACATGACTATCTGTCATCAGATGAGATTATCACATGGAAATGCCAATGCCCTATCTAGAAAATGCTCCCCAAAAAGCTGCCACTATTATTCCATGGTCGAAGCAAACTATGAACAGATTAATCCGATCATTTGTCAAGTCAGAAATACAACATCATCTGACCCAGATCCATGGAGTGATCAGAAAAGACCAGTTGGAAGATGGTGACATTAAACACAAAATTGACTTAATGGAGTCTTCAAATAGGAAATTAACAGGCTATTTCGATCTCTAGTCCTATGCCAATGTCCAAAACTATATTGGTTTTTCTGGAACTGACTTTGCATTCGAAACGGTGCCTTGTACTGTAAGATCGAATTGGATGATGGAAAGGCATTCCGATAGCAGCTGATACTTCCAAGATACTGGACATCCTTAAAGAATTACATATCAGTCCATCAGGAAGCCACTTCGGAATAATGAAGATTTTGCATAGAGCTTGAGACCACTTCTAAAGGAGTAATGCAAGATGATGGCATGCAAAGTGGCGCCAATCTTGTGATGCTTATGTGGGTCAGAAATGACCAAAGAAATGCTGCTGGTAGAAGCTGCAACATTAGAATGAAGGAGCTCCTTTGAAAGAATCGCCTTTGACATCCTGGGACCTCTACCACGAACTGCTGATGGCAACAAATAAATCCTTGTTGCTGCTGATTACTTCACAAAGTGGCCTGAAGCATATTCTATTCCTGATCAAGAGGCTGTCACAGCAGCAGAAGTAATAATATAACATTAATATTAGTTTATACAGCATTTGATATCAGGTTTGGAGTGTCTCTTCAGTTACATTCCAATCAAGGAAATAATTTGCATCAGCTGCAATTAGAGAACTTTGCAAGTTACTCGGCATTGACAAAACCCAAACACCACCTTTATACTCCCAGTCAAGACAGTATGGTAGAGAGGTTTAATCGAACCATCCTTAATAACCTTCCACTGATAGCTTAAAGAAAACGACAGTACTGGGACTAGAAGTTACCCCTCTTCTTACTAGCCCTATCGCAATGCTGTCCATGACACTAACTGCTATTCACCATCACAGATGCTCTTCGGTTGTGACTTTCGTCTACCTTGCGATCTCTTGTTTAGTTACCCTCTGGATGCAACTGCATTGTCTGAGAAGTACATTCAAGATCTCCAGTCACAGTTTGAAGTGATGCACAAGACAACCTTGTGAATGAGAAGATGAAGATCAAATGTGACATGGGAGCTACAGGACATTGATTCAACGCCGATGGTAAGGTGTGGTTATGGAATGTGATTTGACAGAAACGTTTTTCTCCTAGTCACCTTGGAATGGTCTTACACAGTTCTAAACAGGATGAATAATGCCATAGATCGGATCCACAAGTCATCAAATTCTAAGCCTGAAGTTGTTCTTTATGATAGGCTAACTACTTCCTATGGCCATAGTACGTTCTCCCAATAGTGTGTATAATGTAAACAGAATACTAAGACCATGGTCCTATTTGTCTATGAAATTATAAATTTATGCATTTATTTACTGACTTGATTTGTTATTTTGTGAAATTATTGCTTTACTATTGCACTATGTTGTAAGTACGGCTTTGCTTCCTGTCTAGGAATTGTAGAGCCCAGGACGTGCAGTCCTTGAAAAGGCGGCAATGTTACAAATTTTGTACATATATAAATAATTTTAGTGAAATTATATGCAAAACTTTTTTTAATAATGCGACATGTAAATCTAAAGAACTGAAGCTTGCTAGAAAAGTAAGAGTAAAGCGGCAAGTCTACTTAGCATTACCGTCGCCAAAATGGTAACTAACTTTTGTTGCCAAACTTAGCAACATTTTGCTCCATCCTCTTATAACTGTAATAGGTACTGCAACTGAATAACTGTAATTAATGCTCTGTGTAACTGTATCCATTTCCGGCCTTCATATGCCTTCCAGTAATTTTGAGAAGTGAGTAATTTCTTGGTGGCCAGGGGAAAGCTAGAGAAGACTGGACAGAATATCAGTTTAGTAGTTGTTAGTTCAGAGTGACTTCTAATTGTTGAGATTTCCATGATAGCTTCCTTTTAGATGCACTTTGCATTGCACTGTGTTTAATATTCTTAGTAGTTTGATGTGTATCTACTGATTGTAATCTGTGATACCGTGAAGAGCTGTAACAATAGTTTTGTGAAAAGTTCCCAAACTGTGAAGTGTTCCTTTTGTTAAAATTAATTTTATCAAGGTATCATCAATGAAGTGAGTACTGAATATGTTACAAACTTGTATACATGCAACAGTACATTATAATACTACAATTATCATTAATAATAAATGCATTAAAATCAAAATGTTAACAATAATAATATTTTATTATTTTCATTAAAATTATTGAATTTGCTCTTTAACTTTCTGCTCTTCATTCTGTTCTTCATATTCAATTTGAACAAATGCTTTTTTCCTCTTCAGACGTTTACACTTCTGTTTCACTTCTTCATCTGAACTAGAACTTTCAGCAGCATGACATTTACCAAAATCCTTAAAAATACAAAAGAATAAACTTATACATTTTTATTAATAAATATCAATGAAGCATTTAAACAAATACATTAAAAAAAGTAATCTGCCGTTTTTCCAATATTTTGTATATTAATATTTCTATACAAACCATGTCTATAAAAGTAGGTAGTTTATTTTTTAAATAAGGTCCATTTGTGACTGAGTGAGAGAATGATATGGGATCACCAGGATGCATATGCACATCTACTCTCAGCAAGCTTTGCGCACATTTAGATACTAGTATTTGCAGCTGTATTATCTGCCTGTATGCTGAGCTGTAGAAGTTCATAAAGTTTACGAAAACTGAGCACTTGCCGATTGTGAGATGATTTGTAATTCATTTCTTGAATAAAAGAAACTTGGCAGCAGCAGAAATTCACCATCATATTTGTGAAGTTTATGATTATAATATTATGAGTGATAACAAAATTCAAATGAAGGTGAGAATGTTCAAGGATGGGTGGGTTAATATGCATGATCAGCCATGTCTTTGAAAACATTCTCTGATTTCTGAAGATTTGGTTTGTGACATGGACAACAAAATTCAACGGCACAGATGATTCACAATTTCAAAGTTATCAATTGTTTTTCCACAACAAGTTCCAAAGTCAGTTTTATACACCATTGTTTTGGAGAAACTGAATCATTAAAAACTGTGTTGTCAGTTGGTTTCAAGACTACTTTCTGATGACCACAAAACAAAAAGTTTGGGCTGTGCTTCATCATTTTTGACTCAATACAATCAGGAAGGAAATTAATTTTTGGACCATATCATTAGAGGAGGTGAGACTTTGGTATCTCACATGACTAAAAGTCCAAGAGTTTCGCATGATTAGAATCCAAGAAACAGCCAATGGAATTGTGGCATAAATCATTGCCAACTAAAGTGAAAGCTAAACAGATAATTTCAACATGAAAGAATATGGTATCTTTTGGGGTACTGACCCAGAAAAGGAGTTCACACCTATGCCTTTGAGCACTTACACGAGTAGTGAACTCCTGTTTTTATTTAAAAAAAAGTGAACTCCTGTTTTTATTTTTGATGTAGCGATCACACAGCCCAAGACAAACTGGACGGCAGCTGTACGGTCCCTGTCGTGCCTGAACAAACCACCGAAGAATCAGTTGCTCTAGTTCTGCAAAGACTTTGATTATGTTATACTTAAACACATCAGTCTGTTTAAGTACAGATAATGTTATACTTAAACACATCAGTCTGTTTAAGTACAGATAATGTTATACTTAAACACATCAGTCTGTTTAAGTACAGATAATGTTATACTTAAACACATCAGTCTGTTTAAGTACAGATAATAGCCAGAACAGCGAGGGTTGACTCCCAACTGAGGTTATGTCTGAAATTTCTCCCCAGTCGATCCCTGATCGATTCACCCAGGGCTCTTATGGAGCAGGAAGTGATCGTGAGAGAAATATGGCATGGCATACAAAACAAGCAGCACGGTTTGCTATCATTCTGCTGTGATGCTGCTCCATGACAATACAAGGCCACATGTTTCTGCAGAAATACAAGGTCTAATCAGGTCTTTTGGATGAAAACAACTGGATCCAGACACTGCACCCAATGAATTTCACTTGTTTCAACACTTAAAGGAGTTCTTTTGTGGTCAATGATTCAACAATGATGAAGTGAAAACTGCAACGACGGATTGAGCTTCTTCACAGGTGACAGATTTCTATGACGTCAGAATTCAAAAACTTGTAGAACAGTCTGAAAAAATGTTTGAACAAAAATGGAAATTACATAGAAAAGTATGTAGAATATGGGGAAAATAGTTATAATGGTATTTTTTAAAATTTTTCTTATAAAAAATTCACCTTATTAAAAAAATAAACCCTCATACTTAGCCAGCCTTTATTTTTACAATCCCTGGTTGTAAACATATACTTCTAAACATAAAAATGTTTTAAATGATGCATCTTAAATTTAAAAAAATCTTTTTCATGAAAATGAATTAAATAAAAATAAACACAACCGTACGATGATTTCAAAACTTTTCGATATTTTATGTCATTTTCAACTTCTCTTATGTTAGTTAATAAATTAGATTCATATATAATATGTTAGTTAATAAATTTGAGGTTCATTTTCCTCCTTAAATGCCATTTAATGATTTTCTTTTGTAATTTATACTGTGTGACATTATTTAGTTTATGATTTATTCAAAACTGTCAAGTCAAAAGAATTTTCACACACGTAATTTAAAAGTTTTCTAATGATAAAAATGCTCTACTAATATTCTCATAAAGTTTCTCTACTTTAGAATCATAATCTAACAATTGTACAAAAAATTCATTAATCTAAACATATTTTTCATTTTAATTTCTGCAAAAAAGTTTCTGAGTTGGCTATGAGCCTACTGAAGCCTGCCAGTACTTTGAACACAAATTCTATAGGATTCCACGAATAAGTTTTTTTTTTTTTTTTTTTTTTTTTTTTTTTTTTTTTTGTTAATTATACTGATCAATACTTTTCATCACAACCTGCATAGAAATGTGCAGCACTTTTTCCATTAACATCAGACTATAATATTAATATAAGACTAACAGACTTTAAACTGATTATTTTATTCTTAATTAAGTACATAAGCAAACATTTCGCTTTTCAGTTTTTGTACAGTATCTGTGTTAGGTATTCATTTTAAAGTGTTTCTTTCCCTTACTAAATGATTACAGGGGTTCCACCTAGTGTCAGAAAGACAGAAAATTTAAACCGTATTTCTTTCTCTTTTTCCCCTTTTATTGGGCGGGGGGGGAGTCATAATAGACAATGAGTTTTTCTGTTCGGTTTCATGTCAGTATGGGCATGCAGTTAATTTTACAGCCACAAATAAGAAAGAGATAGAGGCTGTATATGAAATACCAATAAACTATTTGTTTTTCCTTTTAAATGTTTAATGTGAATCAAAATGTGGTGTTGAAAAATAAATTGTGTTTTCTGTGGAGAAGATTATTTTCTCAACTGAGATATCACGTTTATAACCTCTACACACAAGAAAAGGTAACACAGTTTTTCTTATTTTAAAACCAGATAAATAACAGAACCTGCATATGTCAGTCAATGCTGACAACTTTAACCAACAGCAGTTGACTAATTAGATCTGAATATGATCTCCAACCTTTAAAGTGAGATTCCTTTAAATACATCCATCAACTTTTTTCATGCAAGAGACATATTTTTTGTAATTCAAGTATAAAATTTTCCTAAATGTAGAAGCTGAGAAAACATATAAAAAGTTGGATTTTATAATTTTTACAAAATTTATTTTTTTAATTTAAAAATGCTTTAAAGTGAGTATTTACATCATTTAAAACATTTTTGTTATAGGAAGATTATAACTACAACTAATGGTTACAAAAATAAAAGCTGGATAAGAGACTTTAGAAAGAAAGATCTAGAAAGTTTTATTCCTAGATTAAGTTCTCCAATATATGCTGCTGAATAGTTAAAGCAACATTATGGGATTTTATATTATCTCCTGTTCTAAAATGGTGCTAAGGGTAATCACACCTGATTGCAATATATGCCTAAAACACTTTTTTTTTTTTTCAAAATTTCAAGTATTTATCCATACATAAACATTCTTTACTGTGGAGAAAAAGACTCACTGTTCCATCTTTATCCTCATGTTCTAAAGGAATCAGAATCAGTTCATCCAAGCATAGAACATATGAAAGCACTCGCATGTTTATATGCATAGTGGTCAAACATGAATTCTGACATGGCAAATACAATGCTACATAACTGCTCTTGGCAGGGGGGATGTAAGGCCATCCATACAGGATTTGGAATTAGCCTTAAGTTGAATATCCAAAAATAGCAGCCCAAAGATGCATCATAAATCCAATAAAGCCAAAAATTCAAATAATAATTCTTTCTTTAATTCTATTCTTGATAATTCTCTTCAAATGTTAATTCTAATTTTCATGAAAATTTCTTTGTTCAGTTTCCTCCATCAATTGTGTGAGAAAATTTGAAAAAGTTCTTTTCCAGTGTTTCCATTTAGATTCCAACACATGAAGGGTCAACATCAAATCTTTCTGGTTTCAAAAGAGTTTCCATTTTGCAAAAAAAAAAAAAAAAAAAAAAAAAAAAAAAAAAAAAAGGTATAAATTAGTTTTAGTTGATTAAATTGTTGTAAATATAATAAACCACTTTTCTTAAGCTGAAATGAAGCTTTAATCAACTAAAACTGCACATAAAACAGAACATAAAATGTTACGTTGTAAGAACAATATTTTAACTAAGAATGACTGTTGCCATTCCATGTAATATCATTTTAATGATGTCAGTAATATTAAACATTATACCACAATATATATATATTCTCATGTTGAACTGAGGGCTACAAGACAGTGAATCAAGTGCCACAAGTTTGACATGCCTGACCTACACTCAAGGGCAGATAATAGTACCTTCCGAATCACTGATGTATCAAAAATTAAAAAAATATTTGGACAGAATGCATCTTGATCTTGTCAGTGGTTTAAGAATCAAGCAAAAGTCCTTTGTAAATTAGAAATTGGAAAAAAAAAAAAAAAAAAAAAAAAAAATACAAATCTTTTGATCAAAATGATTCTGTTTATATTCACAAGAACCTTAGCAATATGCATGCATAACAGCCATAGTTTTAGAATCTTCAGGTTCTGTGTCATACAAAGTGAAGTTTCTTGCTGATGTAGCTGTGACTAAATTATGCAGCATGTTAATTAAATACATCCCAGATGTCCATTCGACAATTTATAATCCTCTGACGATCTACAATCCTCTCCTGTAGACTCCAAACAGAATGTCGTTAAACCCAATGAAATCTGCCCTCTTACTTCATTCCACTTGAAACTCTGGTGCAGCCATATCAACACATTGTGAAACCCAAATGTTTTGAAGATTTCATTACCAATGCCCAAAAGGAAAGAGTGTCATGCAACACTTCCTTCTTCCATAAAAACTGTATTATAATTTAAATTATATTCTGATTAGATATTTGCATTGTAGCATTAAATGATATTTGTAATATGCTTACATATGCATTTCTGTTGAACACCATGTCACATTCTTATAAAAATACACAGAACCAATTTTTCTAATACGAATACTTTGAAGTGTAATGAAAATTCAATCTAAGATTGCCGATGCTTTAAAGAATATCAAAACCAAAAATAAATATATATTACACATAAATGGAAGGTACGTAAAATTAATTCCAGAATTCTTAATGATTAAATTTATGAACAATAATGAAATTGTTAATCACTGAGCTCTTTAAGTTTTGGAGAATAATAAAGTTACATAGAGAAAAGAAATCTACCACCCCCAAAAATGGAAAAAATGCCATGAACTAGCAATTAACTCACTTCAATATCAGCTAGTTGATCTTCTAAATCACTTTCTTCAAAATCTACATCAGCAACAAATTGTCTGTCTTCTTCTTCTTCCCATTCCTCCTCCTCCTGAGAAGTACAGGAACAGCACAACACATTATTTGACAAAAACATTTAATACCATTAAAAAAAAAAGTGGATAACTTTTTCATACAAATATTTTACATATTAATATTTATGCCTTACATAAAATATCACTTTCAATCAGATCATATATTGTTTATTTTACCATGTGATTGATTATGTAACCAAATTTAACTGATGTTTCTCATACAAAGGTTTAAACTACTATTATATAAAGAAAAGCAAAATTATTTTTTTAATTAAAAGATATATCATAAAATAGTAACAACATTTATTTATGACAAACAGGATTGTATTGCCAACTGGAAACAATAATGTCTCTTTGTAATGCTAATAGATGATAATAATAATAATAACTGACAGAGAAATCAACATAATGTGAAATTTAAAAATTAACCTGTTCAGGAGCAGCGTCACGTATACGCGACGCAACGATTCCAATCCTACCAGCCCAGCATGCCGTATACGCAACGCTACGATTCTGTTCCAACGAGCCCAGCGTCGCGTATACGCAACATTAAAACGGAACGATTTATTTGAATTTTTAAAATCCAATAAATGGAGCTAAGTGGTAATTATTTTCCCATATTTTGAATCATACGACATTTGACCTTCATGTATTGGCATTAGTTTCTGTTTTGTGCTTCTGGTTTTGAGAGATTTATTGAAATAAACAAACTGGAAATAAGCGCGCCTGTGAATTAAAGGGGCACAGGCGTTTTTCTTTATTTCGTTATTATTTTTTTGTTTTGTTTTTCTATTTATTTTGAATCTTAACATAAGCTTTCTTGGTTAATTAAAAAGTAATATTACAACATTATTACAGAAGGGGAAAGTCAATCAGCTTTCTCGACGCGTAAATGCGTCTTGTTCACATTTCTCAGAAAAGACCCAGCGTTTTTGTTTTTCTTACGCGGCATGAATGGTCATTATATATAATGACACATGCATTATATTTGGGATATAATGTATTTACTTTACATATAACGTATAGATTGAAGTGATCAGTAATGGTTATCCCGCCAGTGGGGGTCTTTTCCTTGATCACTTTCCGGTCATTGTGGACGCTGTTTTCGATTTAGAAAAACAGGGAGTTTTTTAATATAAACCTGATGTCACACAGGCTTTGAGGATGAAATATTTCTGAGTGTCTTTTGAAGAAGTTTTGGGACATGTGTTGGGTTATATTCAGTTTCATTCCGTTAGCCATAGCTAAGAGACCTTACTTAAAAACTTAAAAATTTGTTCAAAATCACTGGACAATCCACCTTTCTGTCAAACTGGAAGACAGTTTCCGAAAATTTACGTTGATGGAGAAGGTAATAAAAGTAGGTGAAGTTGCATTGTGTGCGCTGAAAGCAAGGAAACACGAAAGCAAACAACGTATTTTGAGTGCGAAATATGTAATATAGGACTGTGTGTCGATCCTTGTTTTGAATTATTTTACACATAGCAGAATTTTTAAATTGGAATTTAATTACCTACAGGTAATTCTTGTTTAGTTTTTTCCTAAATTTCTTATTTGTAATTTTTTTTTCATGTTTATAGTACTTATTTCTGTGTATTAGTAATGATTTTAGTATTTTGCTTGTTTAGTTTATTTCTATTAATGTGATATTCTTTATATTAATACACATTAAAAACAAGTACATTAAATACGCAACTTCACAAATTGAGGTCATGATATCAGCATGCTGATTTTATACGATTTTATTTGTAAAATTAGGCTTAACTACTGAAAATGTGCGGGCCGGTGGCGACGATCCATTTCAGCGGGTCCGGTCCCGTGACCGCGCTTCGTTCTCCCGACGCTGGTCCTTAAGAGTTTAATATCGACAATGTAATCCAATACTATTCCATTTCAAACTGGAAACAATAAGGCCTCTTTGTAATGCTAATAGAAATAACTGCTAGAGAAATCAATAAAACATGAAGCTTAAAAATTAATATCTACAATGAATTCTAATACTATTCAAAAATCATATTCATTACTGAACATTCAATCCTCAACAAAGGTGAGAAACAAACTTTAATAAATGAAAAAAATTTAACAATACTCCTGTTAAAAGGAAACATCTAGCAGTTATTTCTATTATTATTAATTACAGGGTTCGTACACATTTCCTTACATGAAAATTAAGGACTTTTAAGGACCATCAAAGAAAAAAATTAAGTACCTATCAGCAAACAGGGAAAAAAAAAAAAAAAAAAAAAAAACGAATAGAATAAAGCAATTATCCATACAACCGACTTCATGCTTGTAATTTCACTTTAAGAAACTAACAGAAGTGTGTATTATGCACTATTGTTAAATTCATTTAATACTTACCATTAAAACAATTTTGAAAATTAAACTAACTCCCTACAAGTTATGAAGTAGATAAAACATTAAATTAGGAACATAATTTCTTGAAAAACATGTATAAGTGTATTTTACACTAATAACAGTCACTATTTTAGAGGATTTAATGATTATTATTTAACTTATTTGATATTTATTTAAACACAGTCAACTACTATTATAATCACAATGTAAGAAATATTTTGCAGATTAAAATAACTGATTTGTAAACATACAATTTATTTCCTTGGTTTTTTTTTAAAGATACTAGAATAATAAACTGTACAATAAAAGATACAAAACATTTGTGTTTTTTTAAAATCTGAAATCTTTTCAGCTATTTTAACATCTAATTTATTTATGTCTATTTCCTTTTCTTTAACTATTCTTCTAAGTTCATTTGCTTTGATAAACAAATCAATGTTCCTGCTGGTCTCAGCTTCATCTGCTAAAGCATCTACTTCTTCATTATTATCTTTAATGTCCCTTTGAAGAAATTTTTTCTTCTGCTTCATATAATCAATTTCTTCCTCAATAATATTTCTTTTCCTCTTTGAATTTTCAAATTTAGTTAAAGATTTTTGTTCTTCTAAATACTGCATATATTTAGACCTTGCAGAAGTTGCTGCTGATCTCATTTCTTTATTAATTTCGATATTAAGAACACCTCCAGAAATTTTATGTAATCAAATACTGTGCGTTGAAAAATGTATGATGAGTCACTTAAATTTTCAATTTCAATTGCTTTATTTACAGAGAAGCCCCTTTCCACAGAGGCCTGTCCATGTGACAAATAAGATAAGAATCATTTTCACTAATTTCCATACTTTTGAATAGTGAAAATCATGAAAATAAGAAGTGAGAAATGTGTCAAGAGAAAGATTTTGAGGATCAAAAGTAGAAAATTCATGTAAATTTGTTTTAACTACTTTGTCTAGAAACTCTCCAAACTGCAGCAGAATTTCATCACAATCATCTTGTAAAACATGTTTATTCCGCATTAATACAGGTAGAACTATTTTCATTTTGTTCTGGGCTTTTTCTGGACTTTTAACCATCAATCGCGGGTCTATACAAGATGCATTTCGAATAAGAGAATAATTTATTGAACATTTAGACATTAAGTGTTGTACCATTGTTAAGACACATTGTTGACCTTCTTGTTTCAATGCAAAACTTTCAGCTTGTGAAATGTACTTCTTGCGGCAATTATCATTCATTAACTGCTCAGCAATGAACCCCAAATAAACTTTACTTTTATCATTATAACAATTTGGATCATTAAAATTAAATTTATAAAGATTTTCTGCTTTAGTTATTTTTGAATATTCTAGGTTCAAAATTTTAAAGTGCTGAAGGCAATCATTTTATCTTCAGTAAAAAAGGGAATAAGTGGTTTATCACTTTGATAATATTCAAGGAAAGGCAATAATATTTTCGACAGAGAGAGAGAAAAAATTTTAATTTTATAAGAAATGTTTTATCTTTAGTTGCCTCCAAAATATTGAGAAGGATTTCGATGAATTTTTTTAAACTTCCCCATTTCAACTTTTTTAATGTACAGTAGCAAGTCATCCCATATTTCAATGGCTCTTTCAACTGCTGGAACATTTCTTATCCTCCTTATATTGGAATGTCCCAGCCAGTGGATGACATCCCATGCTTGAAAGCATTGTTAAGAATGTGTAAATCGCATGTCCCTAATGTCAAGCATTGAATGTTATATTCCTTTGTCAAGTCCTATTGCAATAAATCATAAAATTTCCAGTTTACTGCAGGACCATCCATCGATATTTGTAAGAGTTATGACAAGTCTAGTTTTTCAACACATTCATAATATTTGGCCCTATAAATGCAACAAGTGAAATATGCCCTATAAATGCATATTTCACTTGTTGCATGCCCTATAAATGCAGAAGTAAGGTACTGAGTTCTGACCTTATTTTTGTGATGCCAGTACCTCACATGAATATCTAGTTACTTCTTTTGATTTGTGTGAATAACGGCCTAATATCATCGCACGATTTAAAAGAATAGTGGCTTTTGATGCACTTAAAAGCCCACAATATTTCTGCATCTGTAACTTCAGATTTGAAAAGAAAAGAATTGACTTTATTATTTTCTACACTTATTGATGTTGAATTAGCAGTTACATCTTTTCCTGAAGTAGATGGTTCTTCTAATTTGACAAAATTCATGATACTGTTAGAAGAAACTCTGCAGTTGAGAAGGGAGAGATGTTTTGCACCTAAAAGGGGCATTACATGCAGGCATTAGTAAAATTAAGTATCGCATATATATGTATATAATGTATGTATATATATATATAATAAGAAATGTATACTGAAAATATACTTTTTTTGCTATATATATATATATACAGTACAAAGTCCGAGATCCGGACATCCAATATCTGGAATGATCTAAAATCCAGACCTCAAAGGCACCACCAACTAATTTCTTAGGGCTTTTTTTGGAGGGAAGGTGAAAATCTAATGCGCATGCGTAAAAACGCATGCGCATTAGATTTTTTTGCTCATCATAAAAAATCATGCCGGAAATCCCGATTCTTAATTCAGTTTGGCGCTAAATAAAAAATCTCATTATTGAAGAAATAATTATTTTAGCATTAATTTGTATGATT